GCGCAGCCACGACGGCTCGAATCGCTGTGCTGCAGGCACCCACCGCACCTGTGGCATCCGCACGGCCCCACCTGCATCTGGGGCGCACGGCGTCGTCATCATTATAGTCGTCATCATCGTAATCACCATCAACATCACCCACTTCAACCCTGCGCGTGACTCATTATCACTATCACCCATAGACAGACTTGAACCGCATAGACTGTACGGAATAGGCTCCACCGCGTAGCTTGCACCACATAGACCGCACTGCACAGATTGCATTACATGTGTTGTACCGCGTACAGTGCGTCACGTTGATTGCCCCGCGTAGGCTGCAAGAACCTACTGTTTGGGGTCCACGCTGGCAGCAATTCTCTATCCCTCTCTCTCTATCTCTCTCTCTTTCTCCGTATACAAATATGTATTATGCAGATATGTGGATGCATGCATGTATGTTTGAGTGTTTGTATTGATGAAGGTACGCATCCATGTATGTATGCACGTCTGCCTGTCTGTCTGTCTGTATGCCTGTCTCTCTGTCTGTCTGTCTGTCAGTCTGTCTGTCTGCCTGCCTGTCTGTCTGTCTGTCTCTGTATGCTTGTATGTTATGTATGTACGTACGTACGCATGCATGCATGTGTGTAGGTGTATACATGGTTGAATGTGTGACTATACCTGTGTATTTATGCATGCATGCATACATGCACGTGTGGACGCATTTATATGTGTATGTGTGTATGCATGTACGTATGTATAAGCACGTGCGTAGGTGTATATGTGCGTATAAGTGTATATGTCTGCATGTACGTGTGTACACGCACACGTATGTACTTCATACATGTGTTCATATACATACACATATATGCACAACTCTATCGAACGGCCTGGGGCTCACTTGACCCATGCCCCGCGCAGGCAGGCCCGGCCCCACAGGAATGGCTTGGAAACAGCCCAGGAGGCCGACAGCAAGAGGACGTTGTCCCCTCCGCGACAGGGGGTCGAGCTGATCCCAATGGTCTTCGAGGCCGGGGGGCGGCCCTCCGAGGAAACGGCGGCCTTCGTACGCAGCTATGGCGCCGACCTAGAGGAGGACAAGCGGGGGGAGTTCCTCGGGCGCCTATGGCGGGAGATCTCGGTGACCCTCCACACGGGAGCGCCGAGATGGTGCTGAGCGCCATTGGGCAGTAGCCCGCCGCGACTTCCAACAGCACGCTCAACGCCACCACAGCTAACCACTAGTGAGCACGTCCGCCAGTACGACCACGGCGACCGCCAGCAGACCGACCACCGACACGACCACCACCAGCACGACCACCGCGACCTCAAGCTCCACCAGCAGGCCGGCCACCAACAGGACCACCACGATCACAACCAGCATGGCCGACGTGCAGCACGACCGCCACCCCTACGACCACCACTGCGACCACCACTACGACCGCTGCCGCCACCCCCACGACCCCCACGACCGCCACCGCCCACCGTTCCCCAACCCCCCCCCTTCCGTCCTCCTTTGCCTGCCCTTGCCTGGCCGCCCCCGCCGCTGCGTGTGTTTCGCGTCTGTCCCCTCTCTCCTCCGTCCTTGTGCTGCTGCTGCTGCCCATCCGCCGCCTGCGCCACTGTCGCCCGCCCTGCCAAGACGGTCGCCGAAGGCGACCGTCTGGCCTTTTCTGCGTTGTATTTCACGTTCGGCTGGCTGCGGATTCGCACAGGGCCTCGCCGCGACCTGCCCTTGCCGGGGCCTCGTCGGGCTCCTGGTGCAGGTGGAGTTTCCTGTCCCTTTCCCCCTTTTTGCCTGGAGGAACTGGAGGGGGAGGAGGAGGAAGAGGAGGAGGAGGGTGAGGAGGAGGACAGGGAGGATGTGGAGGAAGAGGAGGAAGAGGAGGAGGAGGAGGAAACGGAGGAAGGGGGGACGAGGACGGGGAGTGAAGTGGGGTGGGCGCCATCACAGGGTGGCATGAACAAACAATAAAACCATGCGACTGCCAGAGCTCTGGCCGCTTGTTGAGCCCTGGCCAGCGCTTTACGCCAGAAACCTCGCTCTAAGGAGGAGGATGGGGCGGAAGAGGAGGGACGGGGCGGAGAAGGCGGAGTGGGAGGAGGACGGGGAGAGGGAGGAGGAGGAAGAAGAGGAGGAGGAGGAGGAGGAGGAGGAGGAGGAGGAAGAGGATGAGGAGAAGGAGGAGGAGGAGGAGGTGGATGAGACGGAGGAGGAAGAGGAGGAAACGTCTGCCCGCGCGTTGGACGGCGTGTGGTTTGTGAGTAATGGCGCGGGCGGCTGCTGGTTTTCACCCGCCCGTGCCCCCAACGACCGCCTCTTCGCGGGCATACGAATTTGCCCTTAACCTCTGGGCGCTTTGAGAGCTTTGTGTTTTAGGCCTGGGCGATCTTACCCGCATGGCACTTCGCCTCCACTTCTGCCGTCCTCTCAAGCAACACTGCGCCGATAAGGTGTGAAACCGATTCCGGACTTGCGCGAAACCCAAGCTTTCGTTCGAGCCTCGCCCCCCTCCCACCCCCC